GATATTCTCCAAAATGGCACCAGGGTGATGCGGAGGAGACGACTTGTTGAATAAAGTCGTTATTTTTTTTTATTCTGCGCACAAAAAGTATTCTCTTAGCTTCGTATAACTGCGGATGAACCACCGATGTCACATGGATTATTTTACAGATCTCCTTGCTATGTTTCTGGACTTGAGAACATTTCAGTTGCGTTGCTGTTGTTTTAAGTTAAAAGAAGAAAGCGTTTGTCATAGTACACTGATGTGGTGCGGTGGGTGCCTGACCTTGCCCATGCCAGGGTTCTCCTTGGCCTTTGACCCCGCCCTGAGCAGACATGGTGGAGCAGGTGGAGGTGAAAACTGAAGGACAGCACTAAAGTTAGTGGGGTAGATGGAGGGCTCCTGGGAGTATACCAGTGGCGGCTGTTGCTTCTTCCGTTTGGATGACAGATTCAGCTTCTGAGCAGCCCTGAGACAACAGACAAAAATATAACACAGATTGAAAGTTTATAATATTGAGTCAAATGAACGCAAGATCTCTTTTTTTTTTTTTTTTGAGAAACAGATTGTCATACAACTCACACCAGAACCATAATCACGATAACCTGTGTTTACACAAAAAAAGACCTATTCAGCAACTAATCCAGTCCTGATGAACTTAGGGATGGTTGAAATGACCAAAATCCTATATCACGATATGAGTAATTTTTTATCAAGGTAACGATATATATCATAATACAGTTATTTCTGTTGTAAATAAGGTCTTTATGATATCAAAATGTTTGATACCATAGAAATTTCATAATTGTTGTCACCAGTGTCAATATCACAGAAAACTAACACTATCCTGAATAGGAATATTAGACTGCTGTTACTTTAAGAGCTGCTCAGATCCAATATACTGCTACACATGTTTTCTTTCTCAGCTGTTTGCTTGCAAACGTTAAGTTTTCTTGACCACGTAGCACAGCAACGTCACATGAGTGTGTAACCATGATAAAATCTAACCATGATAAAATCTCTACCGATTGACAAATTTCTACAAGTTAATTATGTCTACCGGTATATCATCCACGCCTAGATGAACTCATGACTCAGGTTATCCAATCATAACAGAGGTCATTTACATATATAAGTCTTAAAGATACAGTGGCAGCAACAGTTTGTTCAATTCTAATGGGTCGGGCAAAGGGTGGAAAACACTCATGAAAAATAACATTTTGGTGTTCTTTGGAGACTTCAGTTATAAAAAATAAAATATATGCTACAAAGGTGTGGAATGAGGTATTTTTAGCATTAAAAACAAAGTTTCATCGAAGCAGTCGACTGAAATCTCTCAATTCCAGTTGCATTGTCAAAGGGGGTTCCATTAAAATCAAGCCAAATCCCTCTGTCACCACAGCGAAAAGTGATTTTCCAAGGAACCCTACATGTTTCAAGAATATTCTTTTTTCACTCAGACAGAGGGGTATATGTCCGAAATTCATTTTTGGTCTTTTCCTGATTGATTTAATGGTAGAGCTTGACATTTAAAACTCAATGCTATAAAATCAGACCTCAAAGGTCAAAAGCCCCCTATCACATTGCCAAAGTAAACACAGACCAACTCGCTCTTTCTCCACAGGCTGCCTTCCCCCTCTTTATTTCACAACTAAATAGGAACACTGTGCTCAGAAACCCTTGAAAAATGTCCTCTAAAAATGTAAAACTGGGTCTAATGGGGGTCAGCCCTGTAGTTAGCCCTAACATTAGCCATTTGCTAAGTCTGGCTTTACAGTGACCCAGTTACAGTCTGGAAATTAATCTAAAAATCTATGTGAGATGTCAGTACTGGACTCCAGAAACAGTAGATGAAGTGGTAATAATGGCAGGTTCAAGACCTTTACCCAAGTAACAGCTACCTTCCCAACAAGCTACATCATAAGACTGAACTTTACAATTGTTCTGGTGATCGAATGAACCTATGAGTAAAATCACAGCATGAGAGGAACAAATGAGTGTAAGTGAGGGAAACTGAAAGATTGGGAGTGAGAGAGAGAAAAACCAAAGGCTATCAAGTGACGTTTTGGGGCTTAGCTCACATTAAGAGACGCATTAAGGCTGTTCTCTTGGGCTAAAGTGTAACAGTGGAGAACTAACTAAAAGAAAGCTGACCGCAGCAGTCTTTAACCATGACCGACTGATCACACTAAATGCAGCAATAATCAAAAGTGAAGTACACTGAAAATTACACTCTGAACAATACTTAAATGCTAAGAGCACACATTACAGTAGCACATTGGATCTCTAATGTAATTGCCATGCCACTCTTCCTTTTTTTATCCCTTACACACATTTTGGAGAGCATTTTTTTTAAAAGAAGAGTAGAATAACAGATCAGGTAATATGTGACTACATAATGTTACCTTGGTGAATTACACTCTTTTTTAGGAAAGGTTCACATTTATTGACTTTATGAAATGTGGTGTAACTATCAAGTAAAAGGTAAGTTCCTTATTTTTAATGCATGTGAGGGTACACATTTTAAAGGGGTCATAAGACGCTGCTAAAAAGAACAATATTTTGTGTATTTGGTGTAATGAAATGTGTTTATGCGGTTTAAGGTTAAAAAAACACATTATTTTCCACACACTGTACATTATTGTTTCTCCTCTACGCCCCGCCTTTCTGAAACGCGTCAATTTTTACAAAAGTCATCGGTTTTGGAATCTGCTTCGTCCACGGTGAAAGCCGATCCGGCGATCGACAGCGCGAAGTTGATGTATTTCCTCAGCGATCAGCACGGATCAGCTCCAGGCATGACGAAGCGGCACCAAAGTAGTTTCGCTTTCACAACGAAACACACAGCGTCTTCACGACATGGCGGCGGCGGCAACAACAATACTACAGCAAGAATAAAAGTTACGCCTTCTTTCTTTGCGTGAACATTTGGGCGGCGTTATGCAAATCTTCCCACATCGTGACGTAGACATGTGGGGGTGTGTTAGAACGAGCCGTTTTAGGTAGGCGTGGTTGACTCTTAACTTTTATAAAGAATATCTCTTTGGATTTGAGACTTTAGTCTTTGCAACTTTACAGACCTTCTTTATGCACCAAGAGCTTGTAACACTTCAAAGAGAAAGGAAAATTTTAAATCACATCATATGACCCCTTTAAACAATATTTTTAAAACTGTTTTAAAGAAAAAAATAAGTTAGAAAAGCACTTGTTTAAAAATATCATGAATTATTAATTTATAAAGATAAGTATGTTTTTGGTATGTATGACATTTTACAACCTGAAATAACCTGAACTAATGTTAAATATTTTTCTATTTTTAAAAGACGTACTGACCTTGACATAGATATTACCTGCTTTTTTCCCTGCAATGTTTCTGCATTATGCATGTTGCACCACATGACTTTATTGGTAAATAAATAAATACATATATATATTTTTTATTTTATTTATACTACAACTATTAATTACATTAATTTCAAAGACACAAGTGTCACATGGTTAAACCATTGTTTATAGAGATTGCCCATAAAATGATGCTGTCAATTATTCCTAGAATGCAAAAGTGATGGATTTAGAATTTCAGAAATGATGGAATGATTGTGTGTTAATAATGTTTGTATTACCTGTGATAAGATCAAATCAAATGAAAGTCAGGAGATGGGAAAGCAGAGGAGAACAAGTGGGAGTCAGTAAAAGCTGGGCATTATGGAGTGTGCTTGTGACTATAAATGTCTGTCTTGTCTTTTTTTTTCTGAGACACACAAGCACGGATCATAAGTGTAGGCACCAGCCCTTTGGACGTTCATGTGTGTGTTCCCCAGTATGTCTGGCAATTCTACACACTTTTTTTTCTCTACCCCTCTCTGCATCACTCCATACATCTAGAAGTGACAACCCCTCCCTTCCTCTTTTCTCTTCCTCCATTTTCTCCGCCCCACCCCTCTTTTCTCTAGCTCCGTTCGGCCCTCCGCGTCAGCCCAAGAGCGCACTCAGAGAACACACCGCTGGCTGATGAAATAATTATAACATCCAGGAGGAATAAGAGGATTGAAGAAATGTGTGAGTGATGCATTCAGAAAGCATTATGAGTGAAATACAGAAAAACAGAAAGCAATAGACAGAGAGAGAGAGAGTGTGTGAATCAGACAAATCAAGTTTTTGTGTGTGATCAAGTGTGTGATGTTATATACATATATTTCTCTTGTAAAATTATCTTTAAGAATGTAAAAAAAAATCACTATAAATATTAGAAATAAAAAAAGAATACTGAACTGAATTTCTTATAGCAAAGTTTAAAAAAAAGAAAATAAATGTATTTATGTTTAAAAAATGTAGAATACTACAAGATGACATTTATAATCAGTTTGACCAGAAATGTGAAGTAGTATATTATGAAGATATTATGAAATAATAGCTATAAAAGAAAAGAAAAGAAAATAAAATAAAAAATGTTTTCTTTAAATTGATCTAGTAATCTGTTTCAAAACGATAACAAATAAATATAATTATTTATTTGTTTGTTTATTTATTTATTTATTTTAAATAAATTAATTAATTAATTTGTATAAAAATTTACTTTAGGGACTTTTCATTGAAAATATATTTTTATAACGCATAAACAGAAATAATATTATTTTCTATATTCAATCAAAAATGCAACTGATAAGTTGGGGAGGTTTGAGATTAAATGCTTGTACAGTAATAAAGCAATTCATGAATCCACAACAACAGCTCAAGCATTCTCAGCACGCACACCTGTACACTAATGCTGAAATTAATTGCTTGTTGAAGCACTCATGCTCTCTCACTCCCATTCTCTCCATCTCCTCAAGAAAAAAAAAACAGCTCAGTTCATGAATGGAGAGCGGCTATAAAGCACATGTCCATGTGCTTGCACTTTCTACTTGTCCACCTGCTCAAACTCATTGCAGCACGCACACGCTACGCTAAACAAACATGCTTTGACATGTTCCACAGTCAAGGAGCAATCCATATCCCAAGCATGTATAAACAATCAGACAGCAGCCTTTGTAGAGTTTGGCAGGTGAGCTCAGAGGACGGAGAAAGAATTCCTGGCGTTAAGACGGGTGTGTTGCAACTGACATCTATGGGTCAAAACCCACTGCACCCACACACACGCACACACACATAGAGAAAAAGCTTTAAAAAGTACTCACACTTCTTTCCAATCCATCATCTAACGTATTCACAACTCATAGCCAGAATGAGGCAGGCGGGACGCAAAAAAATGGTACTGTCTGTGTGTCCATACCCACATTTTGCCATCAAAAAAGAGTGATTTAAAAACAAGCTAGTTAAAAAGTCACTGCAAGTGCTTCTCCGGTAACCACTGCCCATTCTCAGTGCACAAACATCTGCAGATGATGGAAGTTTAAAGTCATTACAATTATATCCAGAACTTTTCTTCTTCACATTCACGTTTGAATTCCTCTTTGCACCATCCAGCCA